GGCGTGGTCACTTTTCCTGAGGAGCAGAATCAGACAACTGTTGTGCACCCAACCCATGTCATGGAACCTCCTCAATCGTACGATGAGCATCACAATATAAGAAATAATCCTTTGATGCGCAGAATTTCTCAGGAAGATATTGGCCCAGACAGGTAGTGTAATTTTGCAGATCCACTGACAAGATTTTTATTATTACAGTGTTTTCAATACCGTAATGATAAATAATTGAATCAATGGCTAGGCAGATCAGGAAGTTTTTGCCAAGCTTAGCAAAAGGTTGCTTTTCATGTTCATGTATCTTAATTTGGATAGAGAAAGGTTCTGTGATTATTAGTTTACATGTCAATATCCAAGATGTTAAACAGATCTCCTTCTCTCCTTTCGAGTTCACTAAATCTCCTCCCAAAAATTAAATAGATTTTTTTTCTCCTCATGTTAGAGGTGAATTCAAATAATTTACCTTCAATCAAAAATTGGAGTCGTCTTCCATTTTCAGATATTTGTATTTTGGTCAATTCTTTGCATCCATTTTAGTGACTTCAGGTTTTGGGAAAGACTTAAAGTGGGATGTGATCTAAAATCAAACATCTCAGTATTGCCCATCTTTTATTAGGGGATTAGATTTTGTGGAGTTGTTAATGTCAGGTTGTTTAATTTCTTTTTTTTTTTAGTTGCTGCCAAAAAATGGTTAGGAGACAAAATAGCACTCTTGTATTATGAACATTTTGTCATACATTGCTGATTTTAGCAGCCACATCTCAGCAATTTTATCATCTATTTACTCAATGCTGTTTAACTTCTTCCCCATTAGCATTAGCCCAGTTAATATAGAAAAATGGCCTTGTGAGGATGATATTGTAGAAAGGTAATGTCACCATAACTGTTGTAATTATTTATCATTTCTATAATGAAGAACGATGATAAATGATACAATAAGTGACATTTAAGGCAGACAGCTCCTCAATTACGCTGTTACTTTAAGTGACACCAATTGTGGCTTTGAGGATAAGAGAAAAATAAGAGGATTAATCCAAGCTGGAGACCTCTTTTCTGAAGAGATAATGTGGGGGGCTTTTTCAGGAAGATAATCAGTTCAGTGAGGTAAAATCGTGTTCAAAGACTACGTTCATGCATTGTAGAGAAACTTTTATCTAATGCAAAAAAATATAGACTGTAGATACTAAAAGCATTCAGCCTTTAATGAATTTCATGCTTTACCTGTATACCATATCCTTTACAGTCTAGATTAAACCTTGTAAAATGGTTATAACCCTTTAACTCCTATGGGTGACCAATACAGAATTTCTCCTTACAATATCAATACAATATCAACCAGAGAAGTGATGACAATAAAGAAAAATATCAATTTGGGGATAATTAGTTGATTCAATACTAAATTCTCTGAACTAACATTGTAAGAATTGTATGGTTGACAGTAAGGAGAATTACAAATTTGATCTGGGGAGTTAAAGGGTTAAACCACTTTAAGTGCAATTGCTTAAAGCTGGACAGTTATAAGGGGAAAAAACCAATCAAACTTTGAATTGAGTGCATGGGATGTTGGCAGATGTCATAAAATAACCAATCACAATGCTCTTGTTTGATTATTTTTTGTCTTATCAGGATAGCATCCTCTAGCTGACGAGTTTTTCTTTTCTCGTGACTTCGTTGATAGATGATACATTGATATTGTGTGAAGTTGCTTGTCGATCATTTTTTGAACTTCAAGGATTAGTAATTGTCACGTTGTAGACAGAGAACAAAAACAAATTTATTTGACTTTTCAATATATACAAGCCTTTGATCAATGTGGAAAATTCTACTTATCCGTCTTCATCCATCACGGTATACCCTTGCAGGGACAACATTCTGATACCTTTAAAATTTAGATCCAGAAAATTTGCTTTCTGTCAACCAAATGGTATGTCTTTGTTTGCAGAAATTTTATAGGTGAACAAGTGGATTACAATTCACAGATGCTTGAAAACATTCAGTACCAGCTCTCTAATCACCCCATGATCTTGGATAATAGCTTGTTTTATGATGTATTTGGCCACGATGGAGCGCCAGGAGCACCAGGGCAGGTACTGAAAGTCTATCGATATTGTAGTTAAGAGTCAAAAAGTTTTCTGAAGCTCAGTGCAAGAGCTACGAGCCACGAGATCCGAAGGGCATGGGCTCTAATCCTTAAGGGGGTGAGGTGGGGGTGACTAGGGGACTACTAAATGGCTTCCTCTTCGTGACTAGGCGACGAAAAAAATTGAAAACATCAGCTTTTATTCATGTTGATGTTCGCCAAGTCGGTTAATACAGGGCCAGTAAAATTTTCGAGCAATGTTATTGTATACTATTTCTCACTTTTTTAACGTTTTTTGCTTGTAGGATCCACTGGATGCCTTGGCTGATCGAGCTGCAGCCAGCCCTCTTCCTGGAGTTGGGCAAAGCTCGTCTCAAGGTAAAAAAACGCTAATTTTTCATCGGTTATATAGTTTTCCAGTTTTGGGAAAGAACAGGAAATTGGATTTGGCCTTAAAGTTTGCTTCTGTAAGCTTTAGTTTGTTTGATTTTCATTTCACCTTGGTGCTAACAAAACCTGTTTCTTTTCTCAGGGGGGCATGAACTAGTGCAGTATGGTGTGCAAGGGTCTGGGGCCAGCAGCACTTCTCAGCGTGGACATCCTAGGCCAAGGGATCACGAAGACCAGTACGTGCGAAGAGACTGGGGCCAAGGACAGCAAGCGCAGCAACAGCCTGGACATGACGTTCAGCATTTCTTTAATGGCTAAACTGTTCAGATTAGTTCTAGATTTTTATTTGATGAGGATTGTAACATTTGTCCTAGCATTGTTTTATACGCTTCATTTCGTGCGGCAGTTCTCTCAAGTTCGTTTTAGTTATGAGATTTTGTCGTTTTTGAAGTTTTAAGAAAATTGCTAAGTCAACGTCATCCGTTACGAGCACGGAACCGTTCAGAGAATTAGTCGTGCTGATGTAAGTTATATTAACCAGTTAGATGTAACAGTAAAGTGGAGACAGTGTTTTATGGAATGAGCAGCAGGAAAAGGCGCAGAGCCGAGCCACAAGCGCAGGAAAACGGCAGTCAATGGCAAGTGCGGGAAAATGGTGGCCGATGGTAAGCGCGGGAAACGCTCGTCGGGCACTTGACGATTGTTTTGGGTTTCACTCTTGATTAACTGAGAAGATTGTATCTTCACTCCGATTGGTCAGATCATATCATCTCAGACTCTCAGTAGAGGAACAAACAGCGAACACAATCCTCTTTGAAGTCGCTTGGAGAAGCGTTGTAAATTGTGTATCGCAGTGAATATTTTTTAATGAGATACGGAACTAACGAGTGTTACATAATATAACAAAGTCAAATTCGAATGTAATAAGTAGATAACATGGTAAGCTAAGGAACTATATCGACGAAACTTAATTGTACATCGTATAGCGTACGAAAAACTTTTTTTATAGCTCCGCGGGGAACAATTAGCAGCTTTAATATACACTAAGGTGTTAGGATTTTAAATGATTTAAATAATTAAATTTGTCAGACAGTGATAAAGACTACCCAATTTAAAGCTAAATAAGAAATAATTAAACAAAACAAATAAACAGGGTCTTGTGTGACGTTTAGGAGCGCGGGCTCATTTGCCGAACAGCGACCAGTAACCGGACCCAAAAGTACTTTTGCAAATTATCAATTTCTTAATGAACAGTGAAGCACTGGCGTAACTGTCAGTACAGTATGAATTTAAGCTACCCTTTTTTCCCTCTCCCTAGTCAATTATGAATGTGATAAGCGTTATTCAAAGTCTCAGACAGTTTCATGAACAAGTACTAGGGTTGAAACAATTTCAGAAATAATTCCTGCCAACGGGCCTTAATAATTTAAAAGAAAACAACCTCCGTTTCTTATTCATAATTCATACTTAGACACAGCTGCCCAGTCCCAATATTACAGCACTTCACCTCGTGTGACAACAGACACGGTTTCCTATTTAGCATTCCAAAATTAAATAGGAAATATAAATACTTAGCACCGACGGGATGGCCACAAAATATTACACACTCTGGGCAGATCCCTGCACCGTTGGCCGAAAGACCTTAAACGTCTATTCCAGAGAAGGAATATCCGCAAATGAACCGAGCACGCCGTTAGTTCTCGGCCCTAAGCGCAGGTTGACATCTGTGAAGGAAGTTTTATACAACCCTCGTCTTCCGACTTTAAGGAGAATGGATATGGATGAAGTGTTAAAGAAACTAACAGATGAACATTCGCAGCACTTAACACCGTGTAACAGAGGTGATTATAACTTGCTATAACTTTATAATGGTTTCACAACTTATGAGTATGGACCAACGCTTAGAGTTTCCTTGGCAACCATGTTGCCAATCTGAAAATTGTTACAATCTAAGCTCAGCATAAGTTTCTTTTTTATCGTTTTTAGAAAACTCCGAGCAGCTTTACATGACAAGGAAAAATAAGTTTTGAGCTCCTTCGGACGGCTTTTAATTTAAGTAAAAGGAACTCTGTAATTTATGCGCACGCTTCAAAATTAATTATTTACGGCCAACAGAAATTATGAAACACCGTTACGTAGTAACCATTGGTGTTACAATAACGTTTTAGCCATTTAATCGTTTGTTTTGAGTTAAATTGCAACATCGATTATAGCGGTTTTTTTTTCTACTTTTCTATTTTTTTTTTCTCTCTAAGATGTCCATGACAGACGGTACCGTTTTTGTATTTCCTGAAAATAAAAGGCAGCTCAAAGTAGGCTAAAGGAGTCTTCTTTTTTAAGTATCATTATTCAGATGAGCACTTGAAGGGCGAAAGCGGCGGTCACAAAGCGTGATAGCTTCAATCAACATCAACGCATTTTTAGTTCTTAACCAGGCTGGCTCCACACATTCCAAAAGCTCGGTTTCCGTGCGGCCTTTCTAGTTCCCGTTCTCCTTAAGCCAGCGCGCGCGCGGGTCTACATTATAACCTGGATTGCAATAATTAGCCAGCTGTCTCCATTGAACAAAAACAAAAGCGATTCAAATTGCACGTACTTAGTTACATTACACGCTCTGGTAACAACTTCAAATCGACTTACGCCAGCCTGCAGCGATCGGGGAGACGCAGGAATTTTTCAACAGCGAAAATGTCCCGTCATTTACAACTCGCTCTTAGCAGCCGTTACTATGACAGACAGGGTATAAGGTTTAGCCAACATGACGCCGTTAGACCGCACGGAACAGACTACGGCTATTCGCCTCCTCGGAGGATGCTGGCTGCGGTGAAGGAAGGAATGATTCATCCTAAACCACCGACATATCGACAGATGGATCGCGATAGCACACTTTGTAAACTTCCAATAGAACATTGCAGGAATTCTACCTCCAGACAAGCCGGTGAATATCGATTATTTTTCCTTTCGATTCTCTTTCTCGATTGTAGTTATAAACTTTGTTTTTTTTAACAGGTTTGTAATTTGATCTTGTTCATACAGAATTTAGTGTAAGGGATCATAACTCTAAAAAATTTCTGCTATTCATGGCCTCTCGACAAGCGTATATTATTATGCCGGACTATGAATGCCTTGATTTGCGTAAGGTGGCTTTCTGCTAAATGCGATCTTTTGTTCTTGAGGCTGTCGAATATTTAAGTCAATTAACACTCGAGAATTTTAAAGGTTTATTTGATCCCCTATCAAAACATCCTACCAAGGCAAATGTATTCATATCATGCGATAAAGTTAAAAAATTTCGCTTTTTGTTTTGTGTGATTACGCCTTGAAAACAAACGAGGCCTTGCTAACTTTGACCTTGTAAATTTAAACATATTTATAAGGATAAAGAGACCCAAAGTAATTGAAAATTAAAATTATGTTGATTAAGAAAATCTCCTGCCCTGCTCTCTTGAAATTTGCGAAAGGAGGAATATGATAGACAACACAACATGCCATAGCAACCACGCGCGTGTGCATGATAAATGCCCGACAATCGCGCGTGTTTTAATCCGTTTTGGAAAACTTCTCTCTGGTGAACTACTGGCCTGTCATGTTTTTTTCCTTATCGTAGCTTTATCGATTAAAGAGTTGATCATTTATTCCGTGATTTTTCGCATGAACCACTTCTTGCTTGAAGAATTAACATTTTTGACATTTTGACCTATATTCGATTCGTAGACAATGACAACTAAAAATTTCTTTGTATTCAAATTATTAAACTTTTCAACAGATAAAACTTATTTACGAATAGACTGGAATTTTTTGATGACAGGCAAGTGTGTTGTCTAAGTTTAAGCAACAAAGGTCACCTTTCCTCTAAGGACAAGCTTAGAGTTCTTATTGTTCCTGAAAAGAAAGTTTACGACGAATCGATCTCAGACCCAAAGGCGAGCAGGAAAAACAATATATGATCATTTAATCTGACATTTCTGAATAAGAACTAGGCATATCACAATTCGTTATCAACAGGTTAGTTTCATTTTCAGCCAGGGTGCTTCCAGGCGAAGCGAGACTCCTTCCTGTAACGCTAGAATTGATTTTTACTTTGATGCAAATTAATACTGTCACCTATAAACTAATATTTTCACACTAGCTCATTAACTCAGTATGAGGTCACTTTGAGGTTCAATTCCCTCAAGGATGATAATTAATATTAGCCAAGGCTCGCTGAAACTCTAACCTTCAAACGACAGGGACGTGCGTGATCATTTAAATTAAGCTGATTCTCTTAAATGAAATTCTGCCATGTAATTACGATTCCAAGTAGAAATTGTCAGCTCGCAGGGTATCTTGACAGACGGCTCTCGAGTTTTCATTATACGTCAGACACAGATTACCTCACAAAGGCTTTGCTCACCACTGATTGGCGCAAACTCGCACACCATTGAAATAAAGTTTTGATACCTTGTGCAGTCAACACAAGCAGGCCTGAATCGCTTACGAACAAAGGGAATAACTTCTTCCTCGCAGGCTAAGTTTTTTTTCCAGTTCGGTCGCTGCGACCGCCTTTTTCGATGCCGATTACAACTCAAACGCGCGTTAACCCGCGGTTTGCAGGCAGATCGCATATGCTGGCCTCAGTGAAAGAAGGTCTCTATCACCCGATGTTACCAACATTCCGGCGTATGGACATGGATACGGCAGTTCACAAGTTACCCGAAGAACACTCGCGAACTACGACTCCACTGACACGGGGTACAGATACCGAGATTGCAAAATTAGGGTAACTTCCCTCTTAAGCATTAGGGTACTAGTAATTGTCTTTATTATTATCTGAATTTACTTTTCAGAGGATTTTGAAAGCCGCACTATCACCCTGTTCAGACCAGCTGAGAAGTCGTTGTCAGGCACGGTAAGTTGATATTTCATCTGTCACTAGACAGGACGGATTTTGGGAGCTTTTTTTTTCAGAAGAGTGCATAAGCAATTAATGCTCAATAAACTTACAAAGAAATGTTTTAATTTCCTTTTTAAGCGAATAACCGAGACGGGGCGACAACTTCAATCTACTTCCTACCAGCCCATCGAATCAGGGTAAGACCTTTTAATGATTTACGATTTTGCGCGCGAGAATATGGATTTCTGATTTGTTGGAAAGTGTGAAAGTGTTTGACAAAACCGAAAAAAAAAAAATTAAATCACACTTCAGAACCTTGAATACTGTCTGGAGGAGATAGACGTCATAAAAGAACAGAAGTGAGAGTATATCTGCAATCATTAATTTTTGTCTTAGCAAGTTATTTAACTGTTGTTCAGGGGAGTGCGCTGCAACTTTTGTAAAACATTTGTTTCACCCGAGTAGGTTCGGAGCTCTTGAAGCGAATTTTAACGATTCCTGCTATTTTCTTTATAATTCCAGAAGCTCTTTATGTTTATTTCAATTTTCTGCATTGCTTCCATGGTACGAAAGGTTTGTTTACCGTTTTTGGTGTTTCTGTTGACGGTAAAATTTCCACACAATACCAAATCTCCCGGAACAAAAACAGCGGGCTTATCAGATTAGTGCTAAGACAGTGCACTCGATTTAATAAGCAAATCAAAAAACCCCGCACGAAAAACTTGAACAATGGCAACTGAACGGCGCATCAATTCATCATTTCATCAGATTCACGAACACACGGGACTGCGGGGGCAGCCCTGATATTGAAGTTTCCTGTTCTGATTGCGGGAATACCACGGGAGCACAGAAGCAATGGATTATTGTCATTTTTAAACTCAAAAGTCACTAGAACAACTCGCGCAAACGAGACGTCGCGCGCGAAGGCCAGACGAAGCTCTCTCTCACCCCGCGTGGTCACCCGCACATGTGTTACCCATGTTCACGCTAAACACCTGCAACTCAAATCTTTACATCTTCAATGGCCGAACCCAGAAAATATATTTAAAGTATCAAAATTGGGAATTTTTTAACAGCATGAATGCCGCTATCTTTTAATTTTTTTTCCGTTCCAGGGGTATGGCAGAATTTCTAAAGCGATCAATGACGTCACAGTCTCAGAAACAACCATCCCCTCTTCCTCCCAATGGTTAGTATAATCAACTCATTTTGGCATAATGATTATAATAGTAATAATTATTATAATACAATAATAATGATGATAATGAGTAATAATAGTGGTAAGTCCAGAATGACAAAAATTTTTTTTTAAATTTGAATAAATCTAAACAAAATTGTATTAGACATTTTGATAGAGTAATAACAGTAGTAACAGTTCACTTCTGCACTAATTTGGAAGAAAATTCACTTAAAACCACCAATCAATGATAATAATAATTAAAATACTAATTATTTAGAATATAGTTATAATAATCTTTGTCATGAAAAATTTGACAATAATGATAATAGTAACAGTGAGTTATAATCATGATAACGATTAGTGATGAAAAGAGCAATAATAATAATAATGATGAGTGGCAGTTATGATAATAATTGTAATAAGAGTGATAATATATACAACAATAATAATACTTATAGTGAGTGATATTTATGATAAGAGTGATGAGAAATAATAATATCGATAACAGGTAATTATAATGAAAATGATGAGCAAGGTAGTAATAACGATGATGATAGTAGTGATATCTAAAATAACATTAATAATAATGATGAGGATGATATAATAATAATAACTATAACAACAATGATGACAGCAAAACAAAATTGTGAACATTTTCGTTGTATATTTTAAAGAAACAGTGTAAAATGAATAGTGTGCTTTGTTGCTGTAGCTGAAGCTTGACAGTTTAAGTCACCTGTCAATACTAGTTTGTGAAGAAAACCTGATTGGTGGAAAACAGAAGTTGATCACTTTCCCATTTGCCTCAACAGAACCATCAGAACCATACACATTTATGCCTGAACCATATCTCAAGTATTCTGCAGATCAGATGAAGTTCAATGGTTATGCAACAAGATACCTGTCACCAAGGGAGACTGCATCATGGAGAGTAAGCAAATTCAGAGGAATTTTTTTTTCCTCAGTAATAATGTCCTATGAATACTTGAATTCACAACAAAAAACAAGCTTAAAAAAAACATTTTTGTTCTTTTTGTTTACGCAGTATTCCCTCAGACAGGAACCTTATATTGACACAAGGGGTCAGCGACCAATTCCTGCCACCATCTAGTGAGTGCATCATTTCATGAATGGTTTTAATTATGATTTTACTGGGGAAGCTGGGATCTTGGTCCATGTCAAATGTTTAGTATAAAACCCCTTGCTTTTAATTTCTACTGCTCTCTCTTAATAATAAATTCCATAAATTGAACGATTAATTTAGGTTTTAATAGGGCCAGAACTGATTTTCTTTTTTATTCTTGGTTTACAGTAGTCGCTATCGAGATGCTCATCCAAGAGCCAGGTGACTTTCTCATTTTATATCTGCATCAGTTGAGGCTGAGGTGTAGCACCATCACAAGATGATTTTTAAAGTTATCGGCCAGGGTTACATATTCATTGGCAATTGTTTAAAAAAAAAAACCCTAGAAAGTTACCATATCTAATTTTACAGATACATATGGGTATGTTTTATTGATTCCCATATCATATTTTATGTTTTCCTCATATTTATCTTCACTGTACCATTATCTTTCCCTTCAACTGAGTTATTGAACATCAATCAACTAATTCAGAGGTTTTTACATTGAACATAAACTTAGTCCAAAAGTATGGTTTTCATCTTTTAAAGTGAGTTTGAGTTTCTCTGTTGCATTACTCCTAACAAACTTCTAAGAGTGATTAGCATCTAATTTCTCTATGAATTAACACTACTGAATCAAACAAAAAGGTTAAGAGAATATAGGAAATGACCACCCACTCAAAAGGCTCTTGATTGTTAAGCAAATTATCCTCATCAATAACCTTATATATGTGTAGAGAACAGTATGGAGAATATGCATACTGATACTAGGGTTTAAAGGGTTAAGATTCTTTTTCTTGTTGTTTGCTTTACAGTGTTGCAGCAATGCACTGGCGGTGAAGATGGACAGCATGCTTGAAACTCTTCAGACTTTTTTGTAACAGACTGCCATCAAAAAATACCAAACTCAGGAACCATTTCCTTTTCTAGTAAGCCCCCAAATGTCCTTCTCTACATTTGAAATTGTGTTTCAGCACCAGAGTGGAATAAAAAATAAGTAAATAAATAAAAAATCCATTGTTGTGAATCTAGATTCACATTGGCATTTGAAATTTTTATTAAAAATGCAACATCTGAGAAAGTATGATCAGCAAAATTGTTAATGGTGATACAAGTGTGTATATGTATATTAAAATATCACTTTTAAATAAATTTTAAAGAAACATGGCCTCCGAGTCATTTTATCACTACTTAACCTTTAAACCTTAAGAGTGACTAGCATCTAATTTCTCCCTACAATATCACTCCTGAATCACACATTAAGGTCATGAGAATATAGGAAATGGTGATCAGGGAAGGAACCTTTTGATTGGCAAACAGATTCTCCTTGTCAGCACCTTTGGAGTTGTATAAAGAACAGCAGGGAGAATATGCATATTGATGTTATGGTGTAAAGGGTTAATGTACCAAATAAACCTGTGATACTAGTCATTTAAAAAAACCATGAAAATTTAACTGAAGGATGTTTAGTTAACCATTAAAATAATGTGCTTGCTACCTTGAAAGGATATAACTCAATTACACAACAACAAATAAAAACATAATGTAAAGTTCTTTAATAGCAAGTCCATTGCAAACAACCAAAAAAAACAGTACTGAAGTTAATATTAAGAAATTGGTGAAAAACAGAATACGACATGAATATACAAAGATTTCTATCACGCACACACCAGAAAAAACAGTACAAAAACTAATCATTAAAAGCTTTTCCAGCCATTCTGGAAACATCTCTGCTTTGACATGGCCATAACCAAAATGATATATTAGAACCTAGTTATTGTGTTAAGCATTCATTCAAGCCAGGAATATAGCTTGTGCAAACAAATTTTAGATGGCATCAAAAATCATGCAAAAGAGCTCTCTAAAGCTCTGTTTTACCAGTGTCAACCTTGAACTGTTTTAAGATGTTGCGGCGCACACTAAACTCATCATTCTTTTTGGCACTAATGGCCCCCTCTGAAACATAAAAATGAAATGAACACGAATATCAGTAAGAATTTTTTTGCAACCAAGTTAACCAAGAAGTGTTTAAGATGTAACTTATGCAGATTCAAATGTAGTGAAATCTTACCAAGTAGACGGTTCAAGCGTTCTATTTCAGAAGTGATGAAGGCATCTCCTTTACTCTGCACCCTCTCCATAACCTTAGTGTAATAGGTTGCATCCCTGCGCAAGGTAATGTAAAATAAGCAAATGTCAAATGTTGTCTAACATCAAAACTGGTTAGCTTATTACTTTGTTATAACAGAAGCATATAACAGAAGGTTATTTGCTTCTGGTTAAAATCAATGTTAATTGAACCTGAAGGATTTGGGTTTTCTATAATTTTGTGTTGATTACATATTCAAGGCCAGTGAATAAAAGTCACAGCTTCTCTCTTTAAAAGACAAGAAATTGATAACCAGAGCCCAAATTAACTTTTAAATGCAGGTCCCATGTGGTAATTAAACATACTTGTTTCAGCCACCAGGGGGAACAACTTATGTGCCAAAAGGGAGTACTTAGTAAAATACAAAATGCAAAGTATTTAAGATTGTTCTTTGGCTCAAACATATTCCTTCTCATAAATGATCACCAGTTTTTTATACAGAAGGGCAAAAAAGAATATTGATCAAGGTTCTGTCCCTTGAAGAAAATGAAGAACACTGATAAGACATTAAGTTAGTCCCATACTAATAGCTGCAACTGTAACATTCTGGTTGCTAACAGTCAGTATTTATTTGGTTGTGTGACTAGCTGGTCAATTTTACCCTTTAACCCCTAAGAATGATTAGCATCTAATTTCTCTTTACAATATCACCCCTGAATCAAACATTAAGGTTGCAAGAATAAAGGAAATGATCACCAACTAAAGAAGCTCTTGTTTGTTAAACAAATTCTCCTTATCAGCACCTTAGAATGTATAGAGAGAGCAGTATGGAGAGTATGGATTCTGATGTAAGGGTGTGAAGAGTTAAAGGAATACGTTTCAGTTGAAGTCTAGCTTATCTTACACTTACTTAGGATTCTCTTGTGCATCAATGAGGGACTTGGCCTCCTCCAAGATTGGATCACGTTTATCCTTAACAGAAGGAAAAAACACATTGTGTGAACAAGTCACAGAAAGTCCATGAAGCAAAAGGTTTCATTTTCATTCCTTTCAATCAAAGTCAATTTTTACCACATTGCTCATGAAATCCTTGGCAAACTCATCAAATTTGTCAATCCTTCCAGCCTGCAGAAAAACAAAAGATGCACAGTTTTCCTTTCCATTTAATCAGTGATAAAAGTTAGCCCAGAATTACATCAGGCAACATTACATTAGAGCAAAATTAGAACCAAGGCCTTCTAGAATATTTCACTGATTCACAAGATGAGTTTTAAACAACAAAAAAGTCATTTAATATAAAGGACTTGGTTTTTAACCTTGAGTAAAATACTTAGAAACAAAAACTCAATTTAAATAATCATCTTAAGTACAATTTTAACATAATCCTCTGTTTAACCCCTGATTTCTAAATAATTTGCTAAATAAGTTACAATTTCTCAAAAATTGCTAAATCAAAATTTTGCTTAAATGATTATAATATCTTAAGGCTACTAAGTATAAGCAGTATATTACATCATCACTAATTCCTCCACCAGATTTTCTTTTGGTTTTGCACTTTTCGTTCAGAAAGTCTATGAAATCTTGTTCACTACGGCCTCCACTGTACTGAAATAAAAGCCACAACAAAACAATTAGAAACCTAGCCCTCAAATTTAGCACAGCTCAAATCGAAAAAGCATAAGAGGTAGATGAAATAAACAGTCTCTGAAACCTGCATTAACACTTTAACCCTGTAGGAGTGATTAAGCAGCTAATATCTCCTTGAAAGTACCATGAAATATTTAGAGAACTGCAAGGAGAACTTGCATACTGATGTTAGGTTCAAGTGGACAATCACAGAAATCTCCCTTATGTATCCTTAAAAAAGATTTTAATAAGTAAGTTTCCTTTTATGTTTTTTAATTTTTAAGTGAAATTTTGAGCATTTTTAATCATGCTTCTCTAGAGAGGACAACTACTTTTGGTACATCAATATACCTAAAAAATCTCATACACCACAAAACAGTTTATAGGAGAGAACTATTTGATACAACTTACCTCTTCTGCTTCCTCACTGTCTCTGGGGAAGAATTTAATAGTTGGGAAGCCACTCACACCGTACCTGAAAGAAAGGATAAAGTGAATATAAGAGCGATCTTCGCAGTAATGATCACTGTGTTGGTTCCAAATAAACCTGTGAAGTGGTGAATAAATGGCTGTGAATATATGAAAGTCATATAATTGAACTGCAGTTAAAAACATGAAAAAGAAAGCAATCTTCGCAGTAATGAACACTACTTAAGCAGTAGTGAAAAGAAGGCCTGAAAAAAATTCAGGCCTGTACGGGATTTGAACCCATGACCTCTGCGATACCAGTGCAGTGCTCTACCAACTAAGCTAACAAGTGTTACCATAAGGCCCTTTAAGTGTTAGCCCTCTGTCAGAGCCCTTCCCTCTGACAAAGGGCTAACATTCAAAATACCAGCTTAAGAACTCTCTACAGTGGCCACTATAAATTATCAACTCAGTTGATAAAACCAAATTATCCTGTATAACTGACAGCACCAAAGTTTCTACACAAACTAACCCACTTTTTTCACTCATTATCTTTAGTTCATGATCATAGTTAGACATGACAACATCATGACATTTTACCCTTCAAAAGCTCACCTTTCACCCAAAGTCCTTTCTCCATCAGCATCAACTTTGGCTACAACACACTGGAAATACACAAAGTATACTAAATTATGAAATAAACAAATGAGCAATCAGTCCAAAAGGACATGTCTTGTTTGCATGAAAGTTAACTATTAGCAGGCTAGGTTCATCTGTTTCATTTTGAAGAGTAATAGCCAATCTCAAGGCTCTAGTCTTCACACTAAAAGAGGTACAGTGTCTGAGAATTTGCAACATTTTATACAGTTTGCATCGCTAAACTGAACAATTCTATCAACTCCTGTCATCTACTTGACCTGAGATCACCTTCCTAATTTAAAGGGCTTCATGAAGGAGATGTCAAATTGGATTGTCTGCAGTGCTGCCTAAAAATAAGTGGTATGATCTACAATTAACGGTTAACCAAGACAATCTCAGCAAATTCTACTGAGAAATGGGAGTGGCAAAAACAAAATAACAACAACAAGAACACAAGATATGCTTTGCACAACAAAAAAATATCTTGCACTATAACAACTTACATTTGGTTCATTCTTGAATGTAAGTCCCACTTTCTCATACACAGGGGCAAGGTTTTTACAATGGCCACACCCTGAAAAACAAGAAAACATGCAGAAAAATTTCAGCACTGTGTGACAAAGTTTGGAGTAAAATAATTACAATAAAAATTCTTACATGGGGCATAGAACTCGACCAAAACATCTTTTGTCTTGTCCAATGCCACTGAGTCAAAGTTGGAAGAATCCAGTTGTATAACATTTTCCTTGAAGATAGCCTTACTGGCTCTGGCACCTGAGAAATTGATAAATGATATATATTAAATGAAAAATGAAACAATGTAGTAAATTAAAAAACCTAACAAACTCAAGTTAATTGCATAATGACCACACCCAAGTGTCCCAAATTGCATTTTCTCTCTAAATAATGCAACTTGACTTATTTGATTAAGTGAAATTTACAAAACATATCTACAGCTATCCTTTTAACCCTTTACACCTTAAGATTGGTAACAATATTCTCCATGCTCCTCTCTATAAATGTCTTTTGGTACTGACAAGGAGAATTCATTTAAAATCAAAGCTTGGTAAGTTGGTCTTTGTTTGTTTTACCCTCATGACCTCCAGGTAAGATTTATCAGTATAACTGTGAGGAGAACTTAAATGCTGGTCACTCTTTGGGTTTAACCCTTTCCTACACAAGATCTCATCAGTAATTCTCCTTAATATCTGCCATACAATTCTTTCCTCCTATGGTGCTTAGAACTAAAATATTCAATTGAAATTGGCTAAAATTTCACAACAAGAAAATATCATGTTACTTACCACTTTTACCCTCAATAAATGACACAAGATCTTTAATATCCCTCCCACCTGAATAGCTGCAATGCAGAAGAAATACAAATGTAAATTATTAACTCACTTATGCACACAACAATGTTAAATATGCACAAAACAATCCTCCAATCTTGAATCTTTTCAAAGTTAGTAATTGGTGGCCTGGAAATCACACCATGGTTGCAAGATATAAAATTTATGTTGCCAGTAAAAAATTTTGGTTGGAGGTTAAATTAACATCTTGAGGTAAGATACTTGAGCAACCAAAGAGAAACAAGAGATTTTTGTCAAAGAAAACAACAGAGCATTGATAGTGGTCTATACAAATATTTGTCTCTCAACAGAATCTAATAAACACCTCACTGGCTACAGCTTACTACTAGAAGAACAACAAAAACAGTTACAACTTGAAGTTCTGCAACCAGATTACAAAAAGCAAGAGGTCTTAGTAAAAAAAAACCATTTCTTACTCCTCAGCACTTGTGCTTCCTTTTGGAAAGTACTTAAGGGTAGGAAAACCGCTAACTCCAAATCTGGAACTAAGAGTTTTGTCTGCATCGGCATCCACTTTGGCAATAACGACATCATCAGCTTTAGCAAAAGCTTCTCCTAGCTTCTCGTATGTTGGTGCAAGAGCTTTGCAATGACCACACCCTTAGAATACATCAAACACCCCATCAATATTAATGTTTCTTGATGCAAGACATTGAAGACAAGGTGACATAACAACTAGTACACTTTGCTCTCATCAAAGAGGTTTGGTCCTCATCTTGGCTAACCTATTTAACTCTCACTCCCAAGATCTCATTAGTAATTCTCCTTACTTTCTGCCACACAGATCTTATCATGTTAGTTCAGAGAATTTGGTATTGGATCAACTAACAAGTCCCTGATTGAAATTTTCTTTGTTTTCATTACTTATCTGCTTGATATTGTATTGATAACATTAGGAGAAATTCTATCTTGGTTACTTGTGGGAGTTATAGGGCTATGCATGAACAAGTGCAAATAAAACTACAAAATAGATAACTTGGTCATTACTACAGAATATATGATGACTCCTAAAGAAGCTGTTTTAGCTTTAATTAGTTTTTGTTCATACAACTAAACCTTAAAATTTGCTCCAAACATTAGTATAAAGTTGTGTCAAACCAGTTAGATAAAGTTTGGAGTAATGTAGCAGCTTTAAATCGCTTCTGGAGAAGTTGTACATCAGCACGGCTTGTAATTTGCATGCTGATTGAAATATGTTATGGTCTTGCTGTGAAGTTTCATGTAGATTGAAATTTATTACGATTTCAATAAAAAAGGTCTGCTGTAAGGAAACTAGTTGAAAGATTTTGGGAGAGCTGGTAATTAACTGGAGCCCAATTTGTTCTACTGCAAAGAGTAAACTCCCAAAAGTGGTAAAAGGAAGGGCTTGCAATTGGGCAAAACCACCAGATACAAGTTAGGAATGCTGGCAAAAATCAAAGATGAAGTTAATAGTGTTGCAGTTTAGATTGGAAGCTCACTGAAAATTCATAATATTCTATTTCCAAGATCAAACATGGTGACTGAATAAATCAATAGAACTTTTTATTGGTCACTGCAGAGTGTGCTTAAAGAGGGGTGTAATGACATGACCAGGTATAGAACAAAGGCAACAATGACACCAAAAACCAGTAAAAGAACCCTGTGTCTATGGAAAATTTTAGTATTGATCTAGCAACTGACTTAGCTCCATCTAAACTATTAACAGAGTTAATCCTATGTAAGAGCCACTAACTATAGTCACCCTGTCACCATTGTGTCTCTATGGTGTAACATAAGAAACACAAAGGCTTCTCTTGTGTTCATACCCCCTGAGATTTCCTTTTCAATTCCCTTCACCGTTTTTCAATAATTTCCAAATGCTATTTTATTCATCTCAATATCTAGAACTAGTATTTCCCCCTCTTTTTTTTCCAAACATGATTGAGTGGTAACTTTAAAAAGTCTAGTTGTGAAACAATAAGGAAAGATAAATCAAAAGGGAAAAAAAGAGAAAAAACCTAGGGTTGGCAGGTCTGTCATTAGAAGATTTATTCACCTAGTTCGGATGCTTACTAATCAGGAGTTAATTTCTTTTTCCTAAAAGGATAATTTTCCTATCTTGGATTAAGTTCAATTGTGTACTTTACCAAATTCATTTGGTGTTCTACTCACAGGGTGCGTAAAATTCAACAAATGCAAATTTATCGCCATTTACAATCTGAAAAAAGAAGAATAACAAGAAATGGTTAGGGTGATAAAAGTACATCAACATCTTAGCTTTTTGTACACCAGAATGATATGTCTGCAGTTGACCACGTGTCAAAAATTTTTAGTTTATCGATTGGGGCAACAAAGTTTTATTAAAACAGTCATTGGGAGTGAAGCTTCTCGATCAAATTGTAAACTTAAGAAAATCAATAAGATCAACTTCGTTGATTTTTGCGAAAAAATCTTGGTCACTTTGTAGTTTTCAGACTCAATACTTTCGTCCAATCATTGTTTGACACCGCTCTCTCAGATTGTGCATAAGTAATTGCGTCCTCTTCTCAAACGATAACATCCTAGAAAATACATACCGAGTCAAAATTTTCGTTCGTAAGGTCGATTACACTTGCTTGAGAGAAGGCGATTCCGACTAAAAAGAACAAAAGAGACGAGAAGTCAGCCATTTTTTTTCCAGAAAATGTTCGTGACTCAGATCTACTTGGTTGATGACAAACTCCTAAGATTTTACAAGAAGCGCCCACGCACTACTATCCAGTGGTTTTCCAAAGAAAAGCTCGACCAGAAGGAATGGTGATGAGCTAAGATTGCACATGGCGGAATGTTGTGATCTGTCTTCTCCTTGATCTCTTTTATATTTTAAAGTTTATGCAAATCTCAAGACCGTGGCGTCCTCCTAAGATCCTTCTCTTCACGTAATGCCTAAGAGAACTTCCGAACAAACTGTACAAAACAAGGAGACATTCCCCAAAGAGGTCAGTAATGTAATGAAACTGACACGAGATGTGATGCTTGAATCTCAGTCAAGATATTTTTTTTGGCATGAACAACACAATTGACGGATTTCTAATTCCATGACAGGTTGATGAGAATCTGTTTCGTTTTGAGGAAAATCAAACAGACAGGTTAAAAGAGAATGCTGATTCATCAGATAGTGAAGAAAGCTACTACTCCGGACTAGAAAGCGAGTCAGAAACATCAGATGATGACGATGACGACGAACAGGACTCTAATTCGGTGAGATTTCTTTACTTGATGTCCAGTCAGTTCTTTGCATGCAAAAAATTTCCAGTTTAGATCATCCCACGTTACCATATCAGTGTTAAATGAATGAGTTGATGGCAATTCTAAATTTTTCTCCTCCTTCAGGGAGAAGAGGCAACAAGTGGTAATGAGTCTTCTGGTGATAGTGACAATAATGAAAAGAATGATGATGTCAATGTGACAGAGAAATATAATAGTGAGCCAAACAAAAATGAAGATGTGGTGAAGAAGAAAGTAAAAGAGTCAGTTGATGAAGATAACACATCTGACGAGGAGGTAGATTTAGGAAAAGATGTTGTATTAATCAAGATCTCCATCTATACTTAGTAATTCTTTTACTTTATTTATCCAAGAACTAGCAATAGGGAAACTTAAAATTTTCATTTCCCTTAGATTGTGGGCAGGTTGACTTATTTTTAGATGGAGTAACTTCTTGAGTGTGAGCAAATTTGTTGTGAGCAATTTTGAATGTAAAAAAATTGATTCACGTTCATTCTTACATCTTTTTCTTTGATTTTTACTATCTAAATCCCCTCTTTTTTACACTAGGATGCATGTAATACCATTGGAAACATTCCTGTAGAGTGGTATAATGAGTATCCTCACATAGGCTACAACTTGGATGGACAAAGAATATTGAAGCCTGCTACTGCTGATGAGGTTTGTATCCTAAACAGCATCAGTGTTCTGATGGTTTTCCCAAAAACCCTCAGAATCTGTAAAATCAATTAGGAGATCCCTTTAAATGTCAAAAGAACAATACAAGTCCAGTTAAACTCTAAAATCCGAAATCCACTTTTTTTTGTGGCAAATTAAAACATACTGTCATTAACTTTTAAATCACTTGAATTAACCAATGAGCATGCACCTGAAATTGAACAATAAAAATGAAGCAAAGTGATTGCACATGTGAGGGGGCAAGTGTTAACTGAGTTCTTCAAAGTATTTTATCAATCCCATAAATGCAGAAAAGGTCACAACAAACAGCACTGTTTAAGTGAAAATGACAGGAATTTTAGGGCAAGTTGAATTTAAAATATATTTTTTCTTTGCTAGTTGGATCAATTCTTGTCTAAAATGGATGATCCTAATTATTGGTGAGTGTTGCAATTATTTGAAAACTGAAGACTTATACTCTAAATGCCAGTTGTGTGATTACATTATATATTTGTGTAACTGTTCACCAGCACTCAACTAGTTAAATAAAGTGACGAAAGTTATGATGATTGATGATAAATCTTTCATCATTAATTATATTTATTATGTATTAATTAAGCTGGAGTAAATTATATGCTTAAACCTTTTATAGGCGAACAGTCCAAGATAAATCAACCATGAAAGAAGTTGTTCTAAGTAATGAAGAGTTGGATATTATTGATAGACTTCAAAATTCTAAGTTTCCAAGTGCTGGATATGATCCTTATGAGGTATGCTTTAAAGAATTGGGTTGATTTAGGAATCAAAAAAGAAAAAAACAACAGCAAGGGAAATGTACATCATTGTTACCTTTTAGAGCTATATATGCTTGATTAACTTTACATTTTTTCTGTTGTAGTTGCAAAGAAATACTGTTTGAAGTATGCAGGCATATATTACTGGGCCATATATGTTTAAATGGGGAACATGAATTAAATCCCAATGACTGCGCACCACTAATGATCCAATAATAATCTGTACATTTGGGGTTGTCAGTTTTTTCCTGGCTTTTGAATGTGTAACTGCTTGGTTTTTGTTGGAGTATTAAAATAAGCTTTTTTTTTAGCATAAACTCATTGTTAGAATAGTAACACTTGATTTGCTGTTAGAATCCCAAAGTTGCATGAACAAGAAACTACTGCAGCAGTATTTGCATTTTGTGTAGGAAAAAATAGTACACACTCATGTCAGCACAATGCATTAAAGAACTCTTGTGAGTGTCTAAAACCAACCAACTCTTATATACAGTATTACTTTATTTTCTTCCAATCAGCCCTATGTAGATTTTTTCACTGGTGAGAAGATGATACATCCCTTGACTAATGCTCCTGAACCCAAATCACGTCACATTCCATCCAAATGGGAACACAAGAGGGTAAGGTAGTCATTTGTTCACTTGTTGTGGTAATATATATTTATACATGGAAAGGAAGGATATACTTGCCTCCAACATTTTTTTGGGCAACCCAGAGTTCAAAATTTGTTCATAATAATTTGGCAATTGTCTTTGATCTTTAAAGTAGAGAAAGGTTGGAATCAGAGAGAGAAACTTCTTCAGAGAGTGTGGAGGTTTAGCAGGGAAATAATAGGGAGGGGGGAGTGAGAAAATTGTCTCTGTTGTGCTTTGTTGTATAGACTATGTTTATTTTTTAGCAATGAAAATTGTTTTTGGTTAATTTTACAGTACTAAATGAGTAAGTTTCGTTCTTTCTGTGAGCCAGGTTATAAAGATTGTCAGAGCAATTAGGAATGGCTGGATAAAACCCAGGAAAGATGAAAAGACTGATAAACCAAGGTATTATCTGATCTGGGATAAAGATGACAACCAGGTAAATGCATCTTTGATGTTACTTTTTAGCTTCTGTTAAAGGGAAATAGAGTTAATTTAATTTGACTTAAACTACTACTTTCTTAAGTAAATTAGGATAGAGAAAAAGTTGAATGAATTCCAGTGGTTTTGTTGTAACACAATACTATATAGAAAATGGTCTATTATCAAGATATTTTTGGGTTTGTCAAACTTTTTCCTTACTGAAGTTTGCTCAACAATTGACTACTTTTATATAATGTTTATTGTTTGTTTTGTCAAGGCGAAACCAAGGCACAACATGCATATTCCTGCACCTAAAATGAAACTCCCAGGTACTATGAAATGAATAAAACTTAAATGAATGACAACTGTTATTAAAGATGTTCATTCATGATCATCTTGTCTGAATGTTTATCTCATGCCTTAGACTGTCTTATAGTAAGAGTTGCACCAGACTACCAATTAATGGTAGTGGTGGTCAGATGATTTTGAATCAGGTCATTGCTAATTTTACATTGACCATCTTTCAAGAATCCAAATTGACTTTCCTTGATATTTCATGTTAAGTGGCTGTGAATTTTATTTATATAATTTAGGCCATGAGGAGTCTTATAATCCTCCACCAGAATACTTACCAACTGAGGAAGAGGTAAGGGAAATGAGATGAATTGTTTCTCAGCTAACAACGTATGCATATATTTTTTTCATTGACTAATGGTCTTCTCACAAGTAATGCAGACCATGGTCCTGAAATTTGTTTCAGTGCCATCTGTGGCTAAGGGGAAAAAAGCAAAACCTGGAAGAAAAAGAACTAATTTACTGGTCTGGGTTGGTCCATAAGGGAAAAAACTCTGCCCTTGGTTTTGAGTACAATTTTCTCTCTCTTACTGAGCCTCCCACCAAGCAAATAACAAACATGTCTTGACCATTTTTTCAACACTGAGTTTCCTGCTCTCTTGTCCAATACACCATGACTGTTCATATTGTTAAGATTATTGTACACCCTACAATTTATTCACATAATCATTTAAATAATTTGATTATTTGTTACTTTTGCAAACAATTGAGAGGGTTTTTGGTTGTTTAAAATTACAGTAATGGTAGCAATTTTTTTTCTCCAAAGATTGCAGCATGGGAAGCCATGGATCCTGATGAAAGACCACAAAATTTTCTTCCTAAAAAGTCAGTTGCTTTATATAAGAATGCTTTTGTAAAAGGTTTCACAACAAACCACTTTTGTTACTTCCGTTCTTAAAATTTTTTTTGATGTCTAGTGGTCTCACTTCTCCACTCTTTCTTTTGCAAAATCATGACAAAAACAGCAAAAGAAGTTAACCCTTTAATTCCCAAGATCTGATTGTTAATTCTCCCATCTAGCTGTTACACATTTCCTTGTAATTTGGTTAAAAGAATTTGGTGTTATATCATGATAACAACCTCTAACTGATAAGTCTGAGTAATCTTGTTACCTGTTTTTTGGATAGTGTATAGATATTGTAGGGAGAAGTTACATGTAAATCACTACTGGAAGCTAAAGGGTTTACAATGTCATGTGCAAGTCTCTAGGCCAGCATTTCTTAAAAATATTGCCAAGTGAAGATCAAACCTTACAGTTAACTGAATGAAAATTGTAGATAACAGGCGCATGGTATACATACTATATAGCATTGAGTAACCCCTTAACTCCCAGAGATGATCAACATGCGAATTCTCCCTGTATTTTCCATACATTATCCGACAAACAGGTAATGAGGTAAGAGTTGTTATCTCGATCTAAAACCAAATTCTTGGAACTAATTTACAATAAAGGAAAGTGTAGCAGCAAGAGGGGAAAATTAACAATCAGATCTTGGGAGTGAAAGGACAAAAAGAACCTGAATTTGGCAATATCTTAATTGTCAATCATAACTGTCGCTGTTTACTACATGTAAAAATTTAGCACTACATGAGTTAATGCTAGTTTATGAAATATGTTCCTTTATTTTTAGGTACTCAAGTCTCCGCCTTGTTCCAGCTTATAATAAGTTTATCCAAGAACGTTTTGAGAGATGTCTGGACTTATATCTCTGCCCAAGACAAAGAAAAATGAGGGTGAGGCATTCCCACTCCAGGCACTAACCACTGCTTGTCAGCAACAAATGTTGTTAAAGAAGTGTGAACATTCATCAAAATTCTGGAGTTATGTCCCTAATGATATTTGGTTTTTTTTTGTTTTTTTTGAGTAGGTCCAAGTAAATCCAGAAGATCTTTTACCAAAACTTCCCAGGCCAAAAGATTTGCAGCCATTCCCATCAACGGAATCTATTGTAAGTATAAATCTTGCATTTTGTGTAAACATAATGTTTCAGTTCACTTACGCGTATAACCAGTGAAAAATGCACTGTATATTAATACACTGTCACCCTTAATAACAATTGGTTCCTCAAACAAAACTGATCAACATATTTTTCAGCGTTAGTCCTTCGTCAGAGCCTTTCTAACGAAGGGCTGACGCTCGAAATGTGCGCT